AGGATAAAGTAATACAATTTAATATATATATTTTTTTTATTAGAATATACGTAGCAAGTCCACATTCGTACACAATTACTAGACTTATTTTTATAACATATATGAAATTAAATTTAATAAGGAAGAAAATAAAAGGATATTGTTTTCAATTTGAATGATTGTTTAAAAAAATATTTTGAAGCCGCATACTCTTTGCACTTTTACAAATAATGGCAATCAAAATAATTCTTTTAATGCCATATTGTTATGAGAGTTTAAATAGAAATTTTAAGTGATGGTATAAATTGCATTGCAGATGTATAGGGCAACCGAAACGGGATTTCAGCATTGAAACATAACAGAGAATAACAGATTGCTCAAAACATGCCATCGACTGATTGTCGTGGTTGTCAGGATTTTCGGGTGACCGATCAAGTGCAACATATATACTAAGATGATAACGTGCCCTGATCCTACTGAAAGGAGAAGAAAAACTTTGGATAATCCCAATTAAACATTTGGTAACCCACACTAATATTCTTTTAAACAATAAAACAATATAGGAAGACTTAATAAACTGGAAAAAAATTATTTTATTCCCGTTAAAGAACTATACGTAATAAAAGTTTTTAAGTCATTAATTTTATCTTTATTATACTTAGTGCATGCAATTGCCTGAATATTTCAATGTCGCATATGAATAATGAAATGTGCCCCGCGCAAATAATTTTTTTTGGTATTTGAATTCACAATTTCTTTGGACACAATAAAAATTAAAAAAAAAAAATTTTAACATAAATTCATTCCGAATATATTTCATGTAGATCAGAAATCTTAAAAAACCTGAATACCCTTTAAGGGTTAAAATAATATTTTTTTGTTTCTGTAATTTTTTTTATCAGTATGCCGTGTAAGCGTATATGTAATAATAATGTCTTGATATATGTTTCGTAACGTAAGAGTCAATAATAAAATTATCCTTATTTTCACCTGAGCGCGAGTAATGCTCATATCTTTAACCTTGTATAATAAATGTAACGTACATACAAAATTGTATGTTAGGTACAATGTGCTTTTATTTATTTATTACGCTTACATATTTTTTTTTTTCGTTTCGTTCTTTCTTGTTATAAAAAATTGAGAAATTTAATGGAAAAGGGTTAAGCTTTAAAAAATCTGAACAGAATAAATTTTTTCTCATATTTTTTGTTTTTTTTTTTTTTTTTGCCGTCATGTCTCACAAAATAAATGAAAAAACTTCATGCAAATGCAAAGATATTATGCTTGCATGATATTAAAATCGTTATATGTGTGTCGTACTGTACTATTATTTATTATTGTGTAATTTTTTGGTGGTGTTCGGTAGGTTCTATTTTTAAAAATTGTTAAGCCGATATTACCGTACGATAATTAATGTTTCTTCTTTAGTGAGTCGCCTTATTTCTTCGGAGGAAGTTGGGATATTTTTGTTAATAAATTCAAAATAAGATGACTTTATAATTGGCTGAGTTTTTGTGGAGGGAGTACGACAAGAATTATACTTTTTGTCCTATTAACAAGTAGAAATGAAATTTTATGTCTTAGGTTTAAGTTATGTCTAAGAAATTAATGAAGAACAGTGGTAATAAAGTTCGAAGAACCGGACTAACCAATTAAAAAAAAAATCATTATATCACTATCGACTGACAAAGTCGATGCGTTAAAGGAGAGGATTATTAAGTCCCCCATAGCTGATGACACGCTCTATATCTCTGTTGCAAAGGGGGTGCCCACAAAAAAGGGTGTTTTCGCTCCTCTTGTGGTCTATTGTGGTGAATGACTTGATCGTTGTCTTCACACTGATGATGTGGCTTTTGTTGTCCGGGGAAAATTTCAGAACACGATCTTTGATCTTCTACAACGGAATCTAAGGTTTGTAGAAAGGTGATACAAAGGCGTGGTGCTAAACATAAATGCCGGCAAAAGCATATTGGCTGCTTTCACAAAAGGTTGAAGTAGGGAACGATTAACGATCTCACTCTGTTTAGTGAACGCATTGCCCACTCAAGCGAAGTTAAGTATTATGGGGTAAATCTATGTATATGACCGCTTCTCCTGACATATTAATAAAGACAGGGTCATCGAAAGAGCAAGGGCGGTTATGTAGGCGTGTAGGAGTTTTGTTGTAAAGACCTGGGGCATTAGTCTTAGGGTAGCACTGTAACTATACATGGCCCTTCCTAGGGCGATCGTCACCTTTACGTCTGTGGTGTGGCGCCGCAAAGTGAAACATGTGGATTTTCGAGACAAATCGGGGTAAAAATAGAGTAATTACCTTCTCTGAGAGTGCCTGGACCAATGCGGTCGGCTTCCACGGCTGTTCTGGAGGTGTCCGTTGCATCTTTTCACTGTACGAAAAGCTCTGTTAACAATTTTTTACTTGTGATGACGCCGCAGGGAAAAGATTAGCTCGACGTTTTTGATCGACGCGTGTGGGGACAGGTTGGTCTAGTTTTTGAGATTGGTTCTGGTGAACAGGCGATATTAGCTAAATTTTTTTTAATTTTTAATGGATTTCTACTGAAATTTCTGGTAAATTTTTTTGAAATTTTTATAGGATTTAAGCATATTATAGTAAATACATATGTATATACTTACTATGATATATATAACAATTAACAACTATGTTGTCTCTGTAAAAAAGATTTTCTATACTAGTATATTCTTTTACTCTATATAATTTTTTTGTTTAAATTTTATCACTTACCCTATATATAATAAACATTTTAAATTTGTGACCTTCCCATATTTAGTTTGACTATCTCTCAGGTTCCTTGTAAATTTTATTAAAAACGTATAAAGTTTTTGCACTTGCATATATGGTAGATTTTAATGGTAATAATATATTATTAATGATAACGAGTAACGTTGGAGAATAAGAAAATTTGTTACCAAAATGGAAACTGAAAAGAGAACAAAAAACTAAAATAAATGAAATTTTTGTGTTGAATATTTGCGCTCCTTTCATAGTGCATACCACCAACTTTAGATAAAAAGGTGATAATTGTAAAATTCTATATTTGTATTATTATGTATGTATAGTGAGTACCAAAAAGTTTTCCTTCTTTTTTTGGTAATTTATTTTGGGAGAAGAGAAAAAAATTAATTTCGAAAAAAAAAATTTTTTAAGTGAGAAAATAATTTTTAAATTCGGCACATTCAATTCAGTTGCATTTTTGAACTAAAATATAAGAGGGGAGGAATAAAAACCACTAAAAAGTTTTTCACTACTTTTTTCCTTTTCTCTCGCTCTTCTCTATTTTTATCACACAATTATTTTTATTTGTTTTCGAGTTTGTTTGTTGAAAATTACCTGCAATAAATCTGTTAAAATCGCTATATTTGGATGACATTTAGAAAATTAGAAATTTATAGTTTGGACTATAAATTATTCGAGGACTTTAATGGAAAAATAAAAAAAATCAAGAAAAAACAAAAAGGAAACTAAGAACTTTTTAAGCGGAAGGTTAAAATAAAATGGTGTTATTATATGTTGAAAGATTGAAATTAACAAGAAAAAAAAGTATTTTATGGGGACGGAGTTGGTAAAGCAAATTTGAAAGAAAACGAAAAGAAAAAAAAATTAATTTCAATTATATTAGACAAGTTGATTTAGCAGTTATCAGGGTAGGCTAAAATAAATCGAAATGACACTGTGATAAATTAAAAATTTTCAATTGAAATTTTCGGTCATTTATCTCAGTTATTTTAGATATACATAGTTGTTGTAAGAAAAATGTAAAATTGAATTTATTAAGATTGTTCCAATAACAACAAGAAGATCGTAGTTCAGATGGCAACATTAAGTTGATCCCAATATAACAAAAAAACTTGTCCTATATGACCATCGAGAACACAAGGAAATAATTTGCGGAAGATGAGATATGAAAATTGAGACAAATTGTGAACTAAATCAAGCTGTTTTATAGCTGCTGACATTGCAAGAGGAAAGGGGTTGCCACATTTGATTATTTGGAAATTAATTCAAAAAATTGTTAAGGTATGGGCGTTTGTCTATATCTGGAACGAAATTTATTCGAAAAATCTTAAAATAATGAGAATTTGTTTGTCTAGAACACAATGAATTGCTATAATTCAAAAGGTTACAATTTATTACAAAACTCGCTACCTCATAATTGTAATAATACTACTCTTTACCTATATGGTTATGTATGAGTAGCATTAAATTTTACGCTAAAATATAAAAGTAAAACGTGATAAAATTGTAAAGAACGGAATAGTGTTAATTAGATTAAGTTTTTTCAACATTTCAAAGAATGAAGAAAATTTAGTTTTTTTTTTATAATTTGCAAATATTTAGAACGTAAAAACCATAGCAATCATTTCTTACATAGTAGGGTAAACGCTTAAAAGAATAACTTGTAAATTACGTGAAGGTGTTATTCAATATAAAAAAGGTGATTCAAAATTAAATTAAAATGTGAAAAAAAAAACAAAACAGAAAAACACAACTTAATTAATTAAAAAATTCTTAATTAATTATCGATTTAAACAAGTTACATATAGTTCAGGATTTTAACAGTAATGTCCATTGACTTTTCTATGATCCAAATGACTAGAAAGGGGCATTTTTTCAAGTTGACAAAAAAATATCAAGTTGATCAAATTTCAATGTCTTCATATCCGTACGAACGTATGTCTTTGATCAGTGCCGAATTTTAAGTCGATTTAATCATATTATATCTGCTCGTTTGTCCGGCCGCTCCAACGATAACTCAAAAACTAATTGACCACACAAATTTTCACAAACAATTTATAATTCTAAATGCCGGAGCCTTATTTAAATCGAATGTGATCGAGGTAGTGGTTCGGATTATATATCTTAGAAACAATTGAAATTTCTACTTCAAGTCTTTCTCATTCAAGTTTACAATTTAATTAAGAAATTAGTTTTCGATTTGGTTTTGAACACCAATTATTTTGTATTGATGTTTTTAAAATTGCAAAATTTTATTACTCAGGAAACAATACCTCAACTCATCGTAATGGCGTTGGCATTATAGCTACGGATAAAATTATAGATTATGTAACAGAATGTGTATCGTATTCAGACAGAATCATGCTAATGAAAATAAATGCTAAACCAGTAAAACTCAACATCATTCAAATATACGCCCCTACTGCTGATTCATCTGAAGACGAGATAGAAGAACTCTACGAGCAAATTAATTATCTCATGAAACAACTAAAACCTCATGAAATCAATATGGTGATAGGAGATTTCAATGCAAAAGTTGGAGCAGGAAGAGTAGATGGAATAGTTGGGCCTTTCGCTTTGGGTTTGAGAAACGAAAGAGGTGATCGGTTGATACAGTTTTGCCAGGAACAAAAACTTAAAATAACCAATACATGGTTTTGCTTACCGTATCGAAGATTATATACGTGGACATCACCCCAGCATAGCAGAGGAAACATTATTCGTAGCCAAATTGATTACATATTAATAAACAAACGCTTTAGCTCATCTGTAAAGTCGGTCTGTACATATCCAGGAGCCGATGTTCCATCAGACCATAATCTTTTAGTAGCTAAAATAAACATCAAACTAGCTAGAACTAGAAGAGAACACCGTCAACCCAAAATAGATGTGGAAAAACTAAATAATACGGATATAAAGAATCAATTGGCTACTGAAATTAACAACCAACTAAGATCTGTTATGGAAGAAAGCGAAAATATTTGGGATCATGTAAAATTAGTTCTAAAAGACACTTCAAAAAAATATATTGGGTCACAAGAAGTACGTCGCAAAACAAAAATGGATGACACCAGAAATATTGCAGATGATGGAAAAAAGACGTACTTTCAAAAACAAAAACTCTGCAGAATATAGAAGTATTCATCACCAAATAAGATCTTCAATCAAAAAGGCAAAAACAGATTGGCTCAGTAAGGAATGTAGTGAAATCGAAAGACTTCAACAAAATCACAACGATTTTAACTTACATAAAAAAGTTAAAGAAGTATCTGGAGTGTATAGAAGATCACATACAACCACACTTCGTAACGAAAATGGGCAAATCATTATTGAAAGTGATGAAATAAAGAAGGAGTGGGAAAAATACATTAAGAACTTATTCTCAGATACCTCAAGAGATTTACACCCAACTGAAACATTCAATTTGTTATCAGAAGTCCCAATAACGATAGATGAAATTAAAAAAGCAATAAAATCCATGAAAAAGAACAAAACGCCTGGACCCGACGAAATACCATAGGAAATAATTAAGCTAATAGATGATTCAAATCTTAATCTGCTTAAAAGAATTTTCAATAGCATTTTTGAAACAGGAAATTATCCAGAAGATTGGCTGAATTCTACTTTCATTCCGCTTCCCAAGAAGTTCAATTCCAAAACATGTGATGATCACCGGTTAATAAGCCTAATGAGCCATTCTTTGAAAATATTTTTGAAGGTGCTACATAATCGCATATACACGAAATGTGAACCACATATGGGCAAAACACAATTTGGTTTCACAAAGGGGACAGGTACCAGAGAGGCTCTGTTTGGCATTCAGGTACTTGTGCAAAATTGTCGTGATGTGCACAAGGATGTCTTCTTATGTTTCGTCGATTATGAGAAGGCTTTTGATAAAGTTAACCATAATAAGCTAATGGAGATATTACGAAGAATAGGAATTGATGAAAATATTATGCTATGTGTAGAAAATCTGTACTGGAAACAATCAGCAAGTATAAGAACTAAGTATGGCATGACCAACAACATACTAATACAAAAAGGAGTTCGACAAGGATGCATACTATCCCCTTTACTTTTTAACATCTATGCAGAGGCCATTTTCGAAGAAGCAGTTAACGACGTTGATGTAGGGATAAAAGTCAACGGCACTTTTTTAAACAATATTAGATACGCGGATGATACAGTGATTATTGCAGACAACTTAGAAGACCTACAACATATTGTCGACAAAATAAACCACCATAGCAAAACATTCGGATTAAAAATGAATGCATCTAAAACGAAGTACATGATCGTAAGTAGAACAAGAACGCCGTACACAGCGGCCAGGATTGAGATCGACAACATTCCAATCGAACGCGTAAAATGTTATAAATACCTTGGATGCTGGTTAAACGAAGACTGGAATTGCGAAATGGAAATAAAATGTCGTATTGAAATGGCAAGAAATGTATGAAATATAAAAAGATTTTGTGTAACAGGCAGTTAAATTTGAACTTACGCTTACGATTCATGAAGTGCTATGTGTGGTCAGTACTCCTGTATGGAGTGGAAGCATGGACCTTGAAAATCAAAGACATCAATAAAATAGAGGCGTTTGAAATGTGGACGTTTAGAAGAATGTTAAGAATCTCATGGATGGATCGCGTTACAAACGAAGCGGTTCTACAGAGAATGAATACAAAACGTGAACTATTCCTGAGTTTAAAACGTCGCAAAATGTCTTACTTTGGCCATGTAATTCGCGGAACAAAATATGAGCTTCTTCAACTAATAATGCAGGGGAAGATTGAAGGCAGAAGAGGAGTAGGGAGGAAGCAGTTGTCGTGGCTGCGAAACATCAAAAACTGGTCCGGAATCAACAACATCGGAGATCTGGTACATGCGGCAGCAGATCGAAACATCTTCCGTGATCTGGTCGCATCGATTCAATAGCTATTGACTGTATAAATATGATCGCCAACATCTGGAAACGGATAGGCAGCAGAAGAAGAAGATGTTTTTAACATTTTTTTTTTTTCAAACATTTTAAATTTTAATTAAATTGAATCAAACCTTCTCAACACCTTTCTTTGTCGTACATTGTTATGGGCACATCCAACATTTATTCTTAACTTATAACTGCATATTTCTGGAATTATGCAGTACTTTTACTATAATATGCATGAAAAAAGAATGCAAAATGCTCTTCTCCCTCTTTCTCCTTTCCAACCTTCCCACTTTTCCTTTAACATTATTGCTTTTTGTTCTTGTGTTCTAAATTCCGCATTTATTACACTTTATAAAGTAAATATCGATATTTTTTTCAATCCAAAAAAATTCTTTCTAACCGCAACCATTCGTCTTATAATTCCATAAAATTTAATTTACATTTTACAATTTATTTTAATCATTTTGCTATAAAAAAAAAACAAAACCAAAAAAAAAATTTCCTAAAAGGAAACCTTTCGAATTACAAATATTTCTATATTGGTATATAGGTGAACCGTACGTAGTACGGGGAGACAAAATTTCTAGTTAAAATATTCCAATTATATTTTGTGTACTGTTCAAGCTTTACTGTTGTTATACATATTTTTTCATGCACATAAACATACATGTATTGTACTCGTATAAATGTAAATGATAGCAACAAAATTGTTGTGTCTTTTTTTTTTTTTAAATTTTCTTAAAGATATTCTGAAAATATCAACAACATTAACAAACAATTATTTTTCTAGTGTAATAATTTTATACTTATATAGACAATCTAATGTAGTATGCATAATTTTCTTGTTTTCATAATAATTTAAAACATATAAACGATTATAAAATCGTAGTTATATAGTAAGTATGTACTCCTAGTCAAAATATAGCGCACAGCAGACAAAATATACAAGTCACAACGAATTACAGAATAATGCGCAAAACTGATATTCGGCGCAATACTGCTTTGCAGATTATTGCACCATATAACATCAAAAAGAAAAAATAAGAAGTAAACCAAAAACAATAAACAAAAAAAAATTTAAATTAAAAAGAAAATCCAAAAAGAAAATATTTGCAATAGGAAAAATTGTTACGGTATGAAAACAAAAAAAAAACGAAAAAAATTTCAAGAGTTTAAGGAAGAACACAGAGAAAAAGAATTAAAAGAAAAAAATATAGTCTGTATTGAAGCCAAACAAAATCAAAAAAAGCAAACAAATTTACAAAATAGAAAAAAATTCAACGAGTAATACAAGAATTCCAAAAAAAAAAAAAATCTTAACTATACGATGGCATATAAATTTACTTTTGTATTCATTTTTGTGTTACCATTATTGTAAGACCTACAAGACGACATAATCATTATGCAATGCAACAAAAAAAATAACAACAATTTCAAATGTATAAGAAGAAAATTTTATTCAGTTATCTCAAAAAACAATAGGAACTCGGTATTTAGTTATTAAAAATGAATAAAGTATTTGAATTACGTAGGCCCCTTAACTCGCTTACTTAAAGCAGTTGGCAAAGTGGAATAACTGTGCAACCTATATGGAGAAACAGAATAAAATAATAATCAAACCTATTTTTATAAGAGGGTAAAAAATATGAAATGGAATAGAAGGAATAGAAAGAAGAGAACAAAAAGGAGGGGGCAGAGGAAAACGAGGAAGATGGGGAAGGCGAATGGGTGGAGATAATAGAGAAGGATGTGGAGGGAACAAGGAAGAGGAAGAAGATGAATATGAAAATTGAAGAGGAATGAAAGAATAGCAGGAGAGGTTGAGATGGAGGGGAAATAGAAGAAGATGTGGAAAAGAAAGAAGGGGAAGCTGGTGAGGAGAAAGAAAGAGAAAAAGAGGAAAAGAAAGAGACAGAAGGGAAGGGGAATAGGAACAGGGAATAGGAAAAGAGAAGGAAGTGGTGGAGAGTTAGGAAAAAAATGAGAAGTTGGTAAAAAGAAGGAAGGGAAGGAGGAGGAGAAGGAAAAAGAGAAGGGGTAGAGATGGAACTGGGAGAGAAGAAGGTAGCAGCGAAGTCCTGAAGAGGTGGAAGGGGGGGGGGGTGGAGGCGGAAAAAACAAAGAGAGACTTTGCGGACAGACAAAAAGATTTCAAGAAGGAATTTGTCAACAGACTAGAACAATTTTATTGCAGTTCACTGGACATTATCAATATCGAAATTTCTAATACTATCGAAATTTCTTAATAATAATATCATTTATTCAACACTTAAATAAATGCAATAATATCCTTGCTTTTTTATAATATAACAATATTCTTATACTTGTATTATGTATGTAGATATAAAGGTAAAAATCGTATTATTTAATAAAGTGGAATATTTATTCAAAGTATTGAACTAAAAATAAATATATAAAAAATCGCAATGTAAATATACACATATCACATACATATACATTCAAATCGTATTGAAATAAATTGTTTGGAACCAAAAAATTCATACCGCATCTTCTCTCTTTATTATCATTAATACGAATTTTATATATAGGTATACCATACATAATATGGTAAAAATCTTTTGTTCAAAACTATGCTGCACTGCTGATAATTTTAATCTTAAATAAAATACATAGGGATTATTGGCAAATATTCGTCGTAGATAACCAAATATATGTATATAGTGTTTTACTAATGTGGGGATACTTTTAACTGTATACATATGCATATAAGTAAGAAAATTAAAATGGAAGAAACAAAAATAAGAAAATGACTTGAAATAAAGAAGCTATAAAATATATTGAAGTATTTTGTGTATACATGTACATGTATAACATGTGCGACACTGTATATACTCAATATACAATAGTATGTGCATAGTATTTGTAATATGAAGACGATACTTTTAAAACACTCTATTTTAAAACAAAAACATACGATTGGCAATAACATACGCTCTTTATTTCCAAATTGAAGACATAAGTGTGTATAAAATTGTTAACTCATTTTTAATGTATTCAAGATATTTTTGCAATTTAAGTTTAAAAAATAAAGTTAACAATGCAGATTATTATTCACTTATATTCGTAAATTTAACAACCATAATATGCAAAGAGATTATTAATACTTTGAGAACAATAAGAGTGTTGTAGTTCTTTTTAATAGTTAGGTATTAAATTTTATTGAATAAAAAAAAAAAAATTTATTAAATGGTGCTAAAAAAATACACTTATTTTAATAAAAAGTTAAAATTAATTAAAAGAATCTAATTAATTCGAAATCTGGATAAATATTTGAGAACAAGTAAGCGGACTTACTTATACGTTAACCAAAATCATTAAAAGTTGCCAAAAATTCAAAATTTTTTTTTTTCTGTGCAATATCAATTTAATAACTATAATTAAAATTTAATAACTATAAGACAAATTAACGAGTTAAACGAATACAAGCGAAATCAGTTAACAACAGATTATAGATTCATGCAAGTGAAATTTTCTTTCACTTGCTATACTTTTGTTACTGTATATAGATTAGGTTAGGTTAGGTTTGGTTGACGCAGCCATCCGAGGATATTCACATGCCACTT